AGTTGCTCAAACCCTAACTGGCTTAAAAATGACTTCTAGAATAAAGAAATGGTGAAGGCTGGCATCCTGCCTTCTGAACGGCTGTCTACCGAGGTTCTGACAGTGGATTCTCTGTGCCAGATAAGGCTCCATTTAGAAATCTACACCTGCATTTTTTCATCAGTTGTTATAGACACTTTATAAGGTTGTGAGGACGCAAAAATAAAAGAAAAATAGCTCCTGACCTGGACAAACTTAAACTCTACTGACAAATAAGGAAAAGGGCAGGCACAGGTTTAATAAGTTCAGTCTTCTGGTGTTCTCCACTCCACACCCTGAAACTGAGGTCCTCTCAGCTTGTACGTCTATCCTGTGAGTTGTCTGCATCATATGATCAATCTGACTGTCTATAGGTCAGGAGTGAGGGGGAACCAGATCCTTGTTTGGCCAGTTCAGTTAATCATTAGCTGGTGATTGGGGGAGTCGTGCTTAAGCCACCAAATCTCCTTCCCCGTAGCTTTCTAACTGGATCAGAACTGAGAGAGTAAGTTAATGATAATTTGGGAATTTGAAGGTAATTATGTTCTAGCTGGTGATTGAGGGAGTCGTGTTTAAGCCACCAAATCTTCCCTGTAGCTTTCTAACTGGATCAGAACTGAGAGAGTAAGTTAATGATAATTTGGGAGTTTAAAGGTAATTATGTTCCTTAATACATAATGAGAGCACTTTCCTGTTAAAACACAACCCACAGTGCTTATGGTAGCATGCATAAGACCTATGCAAACCTAAGCCACACAGAGTCCCAGCATGGATGAAGGATGGATGATAGATGCTGGGAGAGGGAGAGTCAGTTTTCCTTAATGGCGTGCCACCTGGTAGGTTGACCAGACTCCAAGGGATGGACCCCTACCCAAGAGCACTTGGGAAGCACAGATTAGGCTTGATAAGCCATTTATTTATTTATTTATTCATTTATTTATTTATTTATTTATTGTTTGTTTGTTTGTTTGTTTTTGTTTGAGACAGAGACTCCCTGTAGCCCCAGTTGGCCTGATGCTTGCTATGTAGACCAGGCTGGCCTTGATCCCTCAGAGATCTACCTGCCTCTGTGCTGGCATTAAAAGTGTGCACCATCATGTCTGACTGCTCAATAGGCCTTTAATTTCTTTTTAAAAAGACAAATAATAATAGAGAACCTGAAGTCAGAGGGCTGTAGTAAGGTGGGGGTGGAGAGAGGGGAGGGGTCTGAATATGATCAAAATACATTGTATAAAATTCTAGAATTGGTAAAACTATTTATAAAAATCCACACACACACACACACATACCATGCACACATATACACACACACCATGCACACATGCACATGTGTGACTTTCCCCTAGGAAATCCTGTGCACTTATGATAGTGTTTGCATGAACAGACTAGCAAGCAGAAGCTGGTTGATTAGGATAGAAGATCCCCATCCCAAGGTAACAGTAACCTTCAGACCTTATTAAAATGCATTTCAATTATGTAAATCAAAGTAGAGTAACATGAAAATATTTTTAGAGAAAGCTAGTACATTTGCTGATACAAGTCTTCAAACATGTAAAGAATGCATCAAGGTATCAAGGCCCACAAAATGTGCAAATAAAGGTGTCCTCTAATGTACTCTGCGGACTTTAGTGAAAACAGTGTGTCAATTGACCCATTACTTGTCGCACTTAGTAGTCCAGATATCAAACATGTAAAGAATGCATCAAGGTATCAAGGCCCACAAAATGTGCAAATATTTGTCAAACTTCATAGAATGTATAGCTCAAAAGGTGTCCTCTAATGTACTCTGCAGACTTTAGTGAAAACAATGTGTCAATTGACCCATTACTTGTCTCACTTAGTAGTCCAGATAGTAATAAGAGAAATCATAGGGAGGAGGAACAACCTCTATCAGATTGTCCTGTGGGCATGCTGTGAGGCATTTTCTTAATTGTTGATTGATGTAGAGGGCTGAGCCCACAGGTGGTGGTTCCATCTCTGGGCAGGTGGGCCTCAGTTGTATAAGGAAGCAGGCTGAGCACACGGCATCCCTCATGGTCTCTGCTTCAGCTCCTGCCTCCAGGTTCCTGCCTTGAGTTCTGCCTTGACCCCCTGTGATAATGGACTGTGAGCTCTAATTCAAATAAACCTTTTCCACTCAAAGGTGTTTTTGGTCAGTACTTAATCACAGCAATAAGAAAGCAAACTAGAATAAATCCCCAAAATTCACTTAAAAAATAAGATGTGGTGGCACATGCTTATAATCCCAGTTGAGCACACGGCATCCCTCATGGTCTCTGCTTCAGCTCCTGCCTCCAGGTTCCTGCCTTGAGTTCTGCCTTGACCCCCTGTGATAATGGACTGTGAGCTCTAATTCAAATAAACCTTTTCCACTCAAAGGTGTTTTTGGTCAGTATTTAATCCTAGCAATAAGAAAGCAAACTAGAATAAATCCCCAAAATTCACTTAAAAAATCAGATGTGGTGGCACATGCTTATAATCCCAGTGCTCTGGAGGCAGACACAGGTGGATCCCTGGGGCTCACTGACCAGTCATCCTAGCTGCATCAGTGACTTTCAGACCAGTGAGAGACCCTGTCTCAAAAAAGCAAGGTGGGATCCTTTGGAATGACACCAGAAGTTTACCTCTGGTTTCCACATACATATATGTACACACACACACACATACACACACACACACACACACACACACACACAATAATAACAGCAACAAACCCCTCAGGTTCAGAAATGTTAACTTCAGTAATGTTAAGTTCTACTGGAGTACATGTTCTTATCCTCATATACAATGCAGGAAACAGACATTCCCCTAGTATATGAACCAAGACCACAGGGAGCTCCAGGTTGGGTGTCAGAGGCCCTTGCCTTGTCCTTTGTCTCACATCATGACTGACACCCTATGTAAAATTCACATACCTATAACACGCAGCTCAGTAGAAGCCTCTTAGGAGGTGGCCCCACCTGTAAATCAACACCAGTACTGGCCATTGTCAGAGACCCTGATCTGCTGTATCAGGCACACCCCTCTTTGCAATGGCATCTCCCAGCATTTGGGTCCTGCCTTGGTACTCCAGCATCTGCTCCCCGTCTTTCTCCTGTCCATTCTGGAAGACCAGGAGAACTGGATGTGCATGTGAGCTGCACTCTGTGAGGAGACAGTTGGCAGGACAGGTGGTGTCCGCTCCCAGGACTGTGATGGGCTCATCTGGTTCTTTCAGCTGGTCTACATTTTCTAGACCTGGGTCCTCTGTTCTCTGGGTAGCAGGATTAAGTCACTCTGTCAGTTCTCACACATGCCTGGGCTAATTCTGAATCTTCATTTTCTTTGGTGTGTGTGTGTGCGTGCGTGTGTGTGTGCACATGTGCACGCATGTGTGCGGTGTGTGTACATGCTCATGTGGAGTGTGCATGTGCACACAGGTACATGTGTGTAGAGGCCATAAGTCAATGTTGGAGTGTCTTGCTTCCATCTTAAATATTGTGTCAGGATCTCTCTCTCTGAATGACGAACTCACTGATTGCCTAGGCTGGCTGGCTGTTCAATGAACTCCAGGGAGCCACCTGACTCTGCCACCTCTCCAGTGCTGGAGTTACAGATGTGCTCCACCTCCCTAGGCTCTTACATGGTGTTGGATAGGCCTATCTTCCAAAAGGATTAGCAGCCCACTGGATGTCTGAACCCTAAGAGACTCCGTAGGGAGGGACACAGTCACTCCTCCCACCCAATCGGTCAGCTTCAATCGCATGAGGGGGCGGGTCTAAGGACAGACAGGGAAGAAGCCAGGGAGGTGGTGGGGGCCTCACCATCTTGGGCTGGTGGGCTGGTGGGTGTGTATCCTGAAAGCTCAGCTTAGATATAGGGAAAAAAAGCCCCCGGGGTCCATGATTTTGTAAGTAACCCCTCCTCATCATCATAGCTCGGTTGGCAAGCCCAAATAAATGTCTTTATTCCCTAAACTGTAGTTTTTATTGGCTGGTCATAAAGAAAGCCATGGGTTGTAAGCACAGGTGTCTGGAGAGCTGAGAGTGTGTGCAACACGGGCCTCCCAGAAATAAGTTTGATTTTACACACGGGTGCTGGGGCTGCTTGCTAGTAGAGGCCCAGAGCTTTGGAGGAAGGCTGAGAGTACCTGACTGGCACCTGACTTGGGCCTTTGTGGGAGTTTTTAAGTAGCTGGGCTAAACTATCTGGTCCCACCAATATAAAATCAAAAGAGAACCTGAAGCCTAGACCAACCAGCTTTTCATACCCAATAAGAAAACAACCAAGGCATATAAATAATACAAATAGAGTCATACTTGAGCTCAACAAAGGAAGGCTTGAGTTTCACACCAGAACAACGAACAGAAAAAAAAACTATATGCCAAAATCATGACAGAAAAATAATATTATGAAAAACCAAAGTAATATGTTCCCACCAAACACCACCAGCGCTATAGAGGAGAACCCCCTAGAGATAACCCAGGACACAGAATTTA